GACCCGCCGGTCCTGCCGCTGGTCGATCCAGCAACAGTCCCCGATTTCTTCTTCAAAGGGACTTTCCTCAGAGGGATGTTAAAATTAGGAGCCTCTGCAAAAGTACAATAAAGAAATTAAAATAAATGTCAGTTTTTTACTTCGACAGGAATAAGAGCACATATGCAAACACTCGAGCAAACGGGTCGAGAATTACTTGGATCGTTTCCAATACGAACAAGACTGAGAATCTCTCAGTAGGAGGAGAAAGAGTTTTATGGGTGAGAAGACCGCAATAGTGGAGAAGATTTTCATCCCCGAGAAGTTTTTCAGACTCAACGGACTTGGCATTCCAAGTGTGAATCCGTTGGTCGATGAGATGGTTCGGAGGACGGGCCGAGGCCACCTCTCGCGAGACTTCTTTGACCCAGGGAATGGAAGGCCAAGGGAAAGGGACGTCAGGTCGAACAAAGATGAATTTATCACTCCACTTGGGGAGATTGGAAGGGACGTCGTTGATGAAGCGGGCACCATTACGGCTTTTCAAGTAAAGGCCTCGACCTTGCTTCGAAGGGCCATAGCAATAGTGGAAGAAATCCAGATCGAATCGACCCAGACGGACGCGACAAAGGATGATGAAGGTTGTTATGAAGCGGATGGCATATTAGGGGGAAGTTGATGCAAAGGAAGAGAGAACCACTCGCAAATGCGAAGGATCTCAGGGTTCAGAGGAAAGCGCATGCCGAGCTTGAATTGGATCTCGAAGAAAGTATAGCAATCCTCTAGAGGACAGTCATATTTGTCAGATTGAGAACGACTATAGAACGCCCAGCCAACAGGTCGACCGATTTTTTCTTCATGATACCAAGGGTTAGAAAGAGATGTGGAAGAAGAACGCTTGGTAGAATTTTTAGAAGGATTCTTGGTCGAGGATTTTTTAGGGGAAGCAGAAGCGCCAGCTTGAGAAGACGAAGGAAGAACGGTCGAAGATGTGGGGAAAGTAGGCTGAGAAGAGATAATTTTGTCCTCCTCCGGCTCAACCAACGAGCCGAAAGCAGGTTGACGGCGGTGGAGAGGGATGTTATCCATAGTGTCTCCGGAGTTGGGGGAAGAAGCTCGGGCTGTGAAAACACGGGTAGGAACTGTGTCGCCGAGGCGAAGGATAGAGAGAGGGACAACTTCGAGTGCAGAGGGAAGTATTTCAACCGAATCAGAAGAGGTCTCAGAGTCTGAAAAAATAAAAACAAAGAGAACAATATCAAAAAGAAGTCGTCGCAAAGAAGAAAGGGGGGGAGAAGAAAGACTAGGGTTCTCGGAAGGAACAATCCCAAAACCAGAAGAGGAATTTGAGAGGTGCAAGGATGGAAATTTCGGAAATTTTCAGAGGAAAAGCAAAATTCACAACACCCAATAGACAGATAAAAGTATTCAGAGCACAAATTCAACACAAGACACGCCAATTCAAAATGATTCAACAGACAAATCAAGGATACCCGATACCGGAAATCCAAGAATACACAAAATAGAACTACAAAGAATACAAATTCAAGTGCGGAGAGACTTACTCATAACCGTGGATCAACGAGTAATGGAAATTCGAAAGGATGCAGGAGAAATTGCCGAGAGAGTGAGGGTTTTTTGCAGAGAGAATTTTGGGTACAGAGGAATTTGAAAGTTGCGAAGGTGGAAAAAAGTCTGAAATTTTACTAAGTGTCGGATTTATACTTGGGAAAATTTAAGGGGTGAGAAGATGAAGACCGTTGGATTTAAGCCAGATCGTATGATAAGAAGCATTAATTTGCATGGCAGTCAAGGCTGGCACGTTACGCGAAGAGGTGCCATCATTAAAGCGCCTGACACATACAACAGACGTGACGCGTGGCAGAAAAGCAGGCGCGACAGAAAGGACTTGAAACAGACGACTTTATTTCTAGCAATTAATGGGAAATTATTTGAAAACATGAGCGGGAAACTTATCAGCTGGTCGATATCTGACGACGAGCCATCCAGGAGGTCGATAAATACGAATTCACTCTTAGATCGAGTCATTCAGACTCGACCAGAGTGGGGGGAACTGGATGATATGAGATATTATATACACAAGGCTAAACCGGTCTGCCCAGCCGGTCGAGAAGGTCAAACCAAGAGGAAGCCAAGCCAAAAGTCGAGAGGATCGATCATTTAGATAATCGACCAGGCAGATAGTCGACCAAATCCATCGCTCGACCAGATAAGCGATCGAGCAGCTTGTTCGACCTCATCAGGTCGATTGCTTCGAGGACCTAACAGTCGGCCTAGTCACAGGCGCGTGTAGGAACCTCTAACCGAATCTCATGAGAATATTTACCCCATGTGCAGGGGGACACGTGTCGAGAACACATTGGTGGATATCGATAACCACCTCTGACAGCTCCCCAACGCCCCCGCGCAACCTCTGACATGCGCCCGGTGTGTCAGAGTACGGACGGGCAGCTTGGGCAGCCAGCTCACCTTATCTGGGCAGCTATTAGGGCAGATATCTCACCCCTATATAAAGGGGGCGAGCCTTTCTCCCTTGGGACATTCTATTCATTCTTCACTTCAGTATACTCATACACATACTGACTTAAGCATCGGAGGCTCTTCACCGGACACAACCCCCGGTGTGATAGTTACTTGCAGGTTTCCGGCGTTCTACCGGCAAGGACAAATATCGATCCGTTCCAAACCGGACCAGGACGCTTACACTTGCATTATATAACAAATAATACTTCATACAAAATAATTTTGGAATTTGATTAATTTCTTATTAATTATTTATAAGTTCTCTCTTATACAATGACAATATATAAAGCTTATTTCTTTTTCGTTTTTTCTGCACAACGGCGTTGGGCTAGAGAATAAGCAGACAGATGCAGATCTGAGGATTGAATCATTCTTTGGAAATTAGGGATTTGCCGAATTTTATCAAACGGAAACCCACACTCGCTTCATCACCAGTATATTGGTAACGTGATTTCCCTTTCGTTTCTTCAGTTAATTTTTCTTTGGGTTTGAAACCCCTTTGAATTGGTCGATACATTCGTGATAGATCTTATGAATTGGTCGATATGTTCGAGTTAATCGCTGTGTAGACCTCGTTCTTTCTTAATTAGCTAGCTTTATGCAATGGATGTTTGGAATACTTAGTGTGCTGCTGGTATTCTGTAAAGTTGGCTATGGATCCCCCATGTGTTGTTGTGGTTTTCACTGATCAGGCTTTGTTAATTTAATAATATTTTGATTCTGTGCATGATAACACTCTTAACATGAGCCATTTTGCTTTGGAAGTGGCATAATATTTCCGAATCTTGGTACTGTTGCTTGAACAGAATTGCCTATGTGATTAGTTTGAGACCACTTCTGACTTGTGGAAATTGATTTATTTTGTTTCTCTTTGAAATGTCGGTCTATCCGAATCTTGCTGTCTTTATGAAACTGCATTATGTTGACTCCTATGGCTGAATAAGTAATGGGGCAGAGAAATATAACTTCAGGAAAACCGTGCATCTTAGCATCGTATTACAAGATCCTCATCTATGTTTTATCAATTAATGATGTCAAATGCCACCAGGTAACGAGTGGAAAATGGAGAAATCGTGTTCCTTGCTGGTACATTTTGACAAGGGGACACCGGCCCTTGCAAATGAGATCAAGGAAGCCCTTGAAGGGAATGATGTTCAAGCTAAAATAGATATCATGAAAAATGCTATAATGCTTTTGCTAAATGGTGAAACCCTGCCTCAGCTCTTCATTACTATTGTGAGATATGTGTTGCCCTCTGAAGATCATACTGTTCAAAAGTTGTTACTGCTCTATCTGGAGATCATTGATAAGACTGATGGTAAAGGACGTGTCTTACCCGAGATGATATTAATCTGCCAGATCCTGCGGAAGAATCTTCAGCACCCTAATGCATATATCCGTGGTGTAACACTAAGGTTCCTCTGCCGGCTCAATGAGGCGGAGATCATTGAACCTTTGATCCCATCCATTATGTCAAACTTGGAGCATCGACACCCTTATGTTAGGAGAAACGCAATTCTTGCTGTTATGTCCATTTACAAGCTCCCACAAGGCGAACATCTCTTGGTTGATGCACCAGAGACGATTGAGAAGTTTCTCTCGACAGAGCAGGACCCATCTGCTAAGAGGAATACATTCCTGATGCTTTTTAATTGCGCTTAGGACCGTGCTATTAGTTACCTCTTGACCAATGTTGACAGAGTATCGGACTGGGGTGAACTACTGCAGATGGTTGTCTTGGAGCTGATCCGAAAAGTTTGTCAGACAAACAAAGATGAAAAAGGGAAATATATAAAAATCATTATATCTCTGCTGAATGCCCCTTCAATAGCTGTCGTATATGAATGTGCCCGGAACTCTTGTTTCTTTGTCTTCTGCTCCAACAGCTATTAGAGCTGCAGCCAACACATATTGCCAGCTTCTTCTGTCCCAGAGTGACAATAATGTGAAGCTCATAGTGCTTGACCGCCTAAACGAGATTAAGTCCTCCCATAGGGATATTATGGTTGACATGATTATGGACGTCCTGAGGGTATTATCTAGCCCAAATCTTGACATTCGTAGGAAAACACTTGATATTGTTCTGGAACTGATTACTACCCGCAACGTTAATGAGATGGTTCTTACTTTGAAGAAGGAAGTCATGAAAACTCAAAGTGGGGAGCTTGAGAAGAATGGGGAGTATCGTCAAATGCTCATCCAAGCCATTCATTCTTGTGCTATAAAGTTCCCCGAAGTGGCAAGCACAGTGGTCCATTTGTTGATGGATTTCTTGGGTGATAACAATGTAGCATCTGCCCTGGACGTTATCGTTTTTGTTCTTTGCATAAGATTGTTGTGTAACACCGGTGATGCTGTGAGGAAGATCTGGTTGAAGTCATGCCGTGAGAGTTTTGTGAAAATGCTTTCAGATAAACAGCTACGTGAAACTGAAGAGATTAAGGCCAAAGCTCAGATTTCTGATTCACAGCCTGATGATCTTATTGATTTCTACCATTTGAAGAGCAGAAAGGTGAGAAATGCATTCACTGATTGTTTTTCCTTAAACAAAAATAAAAATAAATATAGGGGTCTCGCTGGGAGGGGAGTATAAATTCCTAGTAAATTGCAAGGTACAGGGATCAAACATTCAAACCCTATATCAACTAGTATAAATTCCTAATAAATTCCTATATTAGTATTCTGAAAGTCGAGCAGGGAAGCGAGTTTGTTAGTTTCTTGGTACCATAATGATGGTAATTTCTTTTGTATGTAGTTGATATTTTATAATAATTGTATCAATATTGTCATCTCCACTCCAGGGAATGACCCAGCTGGAGCTGGAAGATGAAGTTCAAGATGATCTGAAACGTGCTACTGGGGAATTTGTTAAGGATGTGGATGATGCCAATAAGCTTAATCGCATCATTCAACTCACAGGATTTAGTGATCCAGTCTATGCTGAAGCTTATGTAACAGTTCATCACTATGATATTGTCCTGGATGTTACAATTATTAATCGAACGAAAGAGACCCTTCAAAACTTGTGTTTGGAGTTGGCGACGATGGGTGACCTTAAACTCGTTGAGTGTCCGCAGAACTATACTTTAGCACCAGAGTCGAGCAAACAAATAAAATCAAACATTAAGGTGTCCTCTACTGAGACTAGAGTCATATTTGGAAACATTGTTTATGAGACATCAAATGTGCTCGAGCGGACTGTTGTTGTTCTCAATGATATCCATATTGATATCATGGACTACATTTCTCCTGCTGTTTGTACTGATACGGCATTTAGAACCATGTGGGCAGAATTTGAATGGGAAAACAAGGTATTGTTGTTACTTTGTGCTTTCATATGCTCTTAAGTGTTATAGTAAACTATTATTATTTTTGTTAGATCCGTTATTGTAGGCTTCATTATTGTTTGGGCTGCTGTTTACCTTTTTGCATTGCTATAGTATTTCCTTTCCTCTCTTTTTTTTTTTTTT